TTCTCCCATCACTCCACGTATGATTTGCGCTGGTTTCTACGAAGAAGGAGGAAAAGACTCTTGCCAAGGTAAGTGTTTGCAAGTTTGAAACGAGGGAATATTCAAAATTGAAAAAAATTCACAAAAATTCACAGGTGATTCGGGCGGTCCACTCGTTGCATTCAGCCCAGACGACGGAACACCACGTTTGGTCGGAATCGTTTCATGGGGTAAGTATTTGGTTTTCTTTGAATGATCTTCATTTGAATGAAGCACATATTCTGATTTTTAATTCAACACTACGTATATAGGTAATGGTTGTGCCGAACCTAACTACCCAGGCGTATACTCTCGCGTTTTAGCTGCACGCGATTGGATCTCCGCCAATACTGGAATCTAAGCAATCACATCACCGTTTTGACATCTGAATTATATTGCATTGGATTGACCATTGATTCATCAATTTGCACTTTGTTCACAACTAAAGTGAAGGAAAGCCCTTAATCGAAATGTCATTTGAAAATAGGCTACAATGTTGGAAAATATGTACTTTCCTCAAAGTACTAAAGTCATAACGATGATGAATAAACAACATGCAATGCCACATGCAATGTATTGTTATTTCCATGCAAATTAAAGAGTATAAAAGCTGCAGTTAACGGAATCTAGTGCAAAGTATCTGTTAAGTGTATCGATGACAACACAAATGATCCAATTTACTGTTGAATCGATAGGCAAGATTTTCATCTTCTAATTAAAATTCCTTAACAGTAAAAATTTTGTAAATTTGAAATGAAAAGTCAAAAAATTAAATAAAACCATGTTGTTACGTGCATGCAGTTACAACATATACAACAACAACAATAAATTATAATTTACTGTAAATTTTGAAGAAAAAAAAATGGACAAAATCTATGATATCAACTAACTACCCGAGTAATAGAAAAGAAAATCTATATTTGTGTAACACAGAGCTTTCAAAGACAATTATTTTCTTTTTTCCTTGTCTTTTCCATCATTTTTCAGTTGGAAAACAATCATTTTATTTGTAGAATATTGCCTTCGGACACATCTTTGACTATATTGCCAAATGTCAGCGGTTCGGCCAATTCTAGCAGCAAAAAATCGAAATCAGTGATACTGGCGTCGTATTTCTCATGATCGTAAATTGAAGATCTGCTGCTGAAATTGAAGATCTCTATCGCGTTATTTCTTCTGTCTCTCTTTTGAACTGTTGCCATTACCAGCTAACAAAATGCTTACAATTATGCGACCTGATAACTTGAAGTAGTGCTTGCCATGGTTGTTCCTCAATTGTCGTCGCTAAACCTCCAACTAAATTCAAAGCGCTTGAACTAAATTTTCTGCTTGAATTGATTTCAGGACAAAGTTACCGCTCATTTATCACGATTATGATTTGTTATTGACTTCAAGTATGCTGCATATATTCAATTTTTCCCTAATGATTTTATAATTTCACAATGTCAACACAATGACTCTTAGAGAATATGCGTCGCGTGCCAAGCACATGGATAGAAATGATATGACAATGGATTCATACAATGATGGTATGATAATTTTTGTTGTTGCTTCACATTGATCTATATTAGGCGTATGTAAACATTGCTCAATAAAACGATTGTTAAAAAATGACCCCACATGAAAGAATCATTAGGCGATCACAAACACTTGCAGTCGAACTCAATGAATTCGCAGCTAAACTTTCAAAACTCGAACTTCAAAATGTTGGTGAATCCCCTCATTCATGGAATTGAAAAATTCCTTCAGCACGAGTACATGTTTCCGATCATAGAACTAAAGTACTCTCGTTGCGTTTTTTTTTCGTGCGGACCATTCAAACTGTTTTTTCTGGCAACTTTGTCCAGTTTACAATCAACACAGATCGTATTGATAAAATATAGTAAATTATCGATTAATTACGTCCTTTGTATACTATTATTGGTAGCGCGTGTTCATAAACCCTTTAGAATGTCTGCCAGAAAGAATGTGCTGACGAACGTTATCTACGCATCAAAAACAATGGTCAATAAACTCTTGTTCTAATCGCGCCAATTGTACATACTCAAAATTAGATAAAGACAATACGCGTCCCTCGACATTCGGCGCTTATATAAACCCATGCAATCTTGCCAAAATTATCAAACAAACTATAATCGTCAATCGACACGGTCATTACTTAGTTTGTGAATAAAATCCATGTTTTCGTTCGAGTGAAATTAAAAGAAGGTGAATTTCTGGAAATAAGGTGTTTGAAGATGTTTGTCGAACAAATTGCGAAGATTATTTTGCTTGTCACATGTGTGACCAGTGCGGCAGGTACAGCAATTGAAATAGTGTTTTAAATAAAAAAAATGTGTTTGTTTCTTTTCAAATATATTAACTCTGAATTTTTGGATTTTCACCCAAAAGTGTATCCACCGAGACCTGAGTTCGATGGGAGAATTGTTGGAGGTTTTGCCATTAACATCACACAAGCCCCATGGCAAGTGTCGCTTCAGCGAAACGGCTCTCATGGCTGTGGTGGATCAATCATTTCAAATACGTGGATCGTAACGGCAGCCCATTGCACAGTGTAATTTAGAATCGCTTTTACCACAAGATAGAAATGGTCTAACTTCATTTTTTTTCGAAATACAGTGCTTACGTGAATAATGCAGAAAATCTTGAAGTGAGAGCCGGATCATCTTCGCACCACGAAGACGGTGAATTGTATGCCGTGAAGCGAGTCATTCAGAATAGTAAACACAATCGCAAAACTAAAGAATACGATTATTCGTTGCTTGAACTTGAAGAACCACTTCATTTCGACGACACTAAACAAGCGATTCAATTGCACAACTTTGACGAAGTCTTCCCAGACAATACGAATGCATTTGTTTCTGGATGGGGAAATACACAGAATTCAAGCGAATCCAGTTTACTACTTCGCGGAGGTGAGAATCGAAACGCATTTTATCCAAGACATTTATAAATATTATCATTGTGTTTTTATTTAGCTGAAGTTCCACTTGTCAACCAGAAGAAATGCAACGAGGCATATACATCCTTTTCTCCCATTACTCCACGTATGATTTGCGCTGGTTTCTACGAAGAAGGAGGGAAAGACTCTTGCCAAGGTAAGTGTCTACAAGAATAAACGACTAAAACGAGTGAATATTCAAACAAAATTCACAAAAAATTCACAGGTGATTCGGGCGGTCCACTCGTTGCATTCAGCTCAGACGACGGAACACCACGTTTGGTCGGAATTGTTTCATGGGGTAAGTTTTTGTTTTTCTTGAAATGATCTTCATTTATATGGAGCAAATTTTCTTAATTCGAATTTTAACTATAGGTAAAGGTTGTGCCGAACCTAACTACCCAGGCGTATACTCTCGCGTTTTAGCTGCACGCGATTGGATCTCCGCCAACACTGGAATCTAAGCAATCACATCTTCATTGTGAGATTTAAATAACATTGGATTTGATTGACAATCGATTAATGACATTTTCGACCATTTTTTTGGTCAACATCTTTTGGACAAACATTTTATATGATCAAATGAGAATTTAACGTAATTAAACGAAAAGAATTGCAAAAAAAGTCACAAGCATTTTCATTCAGTGCAATCTGATTCATCAATTGTAATTTGTTCACAACTAAAGTGAAGAAAAGCCCTTAATCGAAATGTCATTTGAAAATAGGCTACAATGTTGTAAAATATGTACATTCTTCAAAGTACTAAAGTCATAACGATGATGAATAAACAACACGCAATGCCACATGCAATGTATTGTTTATTCCATGAAAAGTAAAGAGTATATAAGCTGCAGTTAATAGAATCTAGTGAAGAGTATCTGTTAAGTGTATCGATAACAATACAAATGATCCAATTCACTGTTAAATCGATAGCCAAAAGATGAGCAGTCAAAAAATTAGATAATTCCATGTTATTACATGCAGTTATATAATTTATTCCAAATGTTTTTGAAATAAAATGGACAAAATCTATGACATCAACTAACTACCCGAGTAACAAAAAAGAAAATCTACATTTATGAAACACAGAGCTTTCGAAGAAAATTTTTCATTTTTTCTTTGTCTTTTTCGATCATTTTTCAGTTGAAAAACAATCATTTTACTTGTAGTATATCGCCTTCGGACACATCTTCCTCGGAGTTTTCGCCACTAGACACATTATTCCCTACTCGGTGTCTTTGAACAAACATCACCAATTTTCACTATTCAATATTTGATCTTAATTAATTAAGTTGCTTATTTTTTCATTCCATTTTGATTATTGAACAACACTTTAACCACAAGAAACAAAATCCATTTGAGCAAGTCGTTTATTTGTGCTATTTTTTTTTCCTCAGTAATCATTCGCTGCAAAATTTTCAATGCATTCACTTGCAATGGAATTTCTCGTCTGAGCCGAAGTAGAAAATTTTTCAATGCGTAGATTTTTGTCGCCTTAACAACAATCGATCAAACGGGATATCGAAAATTCTGCATGTGTGATGGTGTTTTGCCACCTGTGGATGTTCCTAGATCGGCTTGGATTTGAAAACACACCAGTTGCACGGGATCGCCCATTTCTATGGTTACCAAAATCAATATCTGAGCCATTGGTTGCATGTGTTATTGATCGTGGATCCACAGGTTAATCGTACACAAACGGCGGTTACTATGAAATCAATTCATGCGAGAACCATGCGTTGAATTCCTAAAGTCAGGGCTAGAAAGTCATTAGTGAAATAAACAGTATTAACCTTGACATCAGGCTGATGTTATCAGCCGAATAGACTGTCCCATGACTCTGAAATATTGACACTTATCTTCACACTATTACGTGACACACTATTTTGAGACACTTTTTCGTGTGACGTATGTGTGCATATTTCTATAATTTTAAAATAAAAAAGGACATTTCCCAACGTTTAAATAAGTTAAAGCAAATACTATTTAAAACGTTATCAGCATTTATCTTATTTAGTGTGTATTCTCATAAATTCGATATTGCCAAACATATTCTTTCTAATGAAAATTATACTTATACCATTCAAAATGCATTATAATTTTTCAATTTCCATACGAATGGGAAACGAACGAACATAATGGTACCATTTGGGATAGAAGTATAAAAGTATAACTATTAACTATGTCTATAGCAATTGGCATTTGTACTCTCTTGTCTTGGAGATGGCGTTGTTTGAATTGAGAAAGAAAAATTGCAAGGGTCGTGAATTGTATCCATATTGCATCTAAAAACCAATAATTTTTATGGTATTTTCCATTCAAACAAAGGTCTAGAAGCTAACTCAAGCAAGCATATGCTGTGAAAAATATATCAGCACTTTTAGTTACACTTTTGTCCCACAGATGGTGTTGGCTCAATTGTGTGGACACTGGATATCGTCTACTAAGCAAAGAGAATGGTTGTTGTAAACAGTAAACTGCAAGCAAAAAAAAATCTTCAAAGTTGGTTACAATTTTACTTTTAGTGTGTAAACAAAATATGAAATTATTTTTAAAATTGACAGACAATTTATTTATTTATCACTTTTTCCAATGCGATCAACTGTGAATTTGAACAACTATAAATTCTTTTGCTTAGAGACAAGTGTTTGGTATTGAACGCATTTGACGAATGAAAAAAACATTTCAAATGTCCATTCGTTTTTCTATCGCTGCGAAATTTAAATTCTAGCAAGAAGAATTTTTTGATAAAAAATGTTATTTGGATGAATTTTCATTTTAATTGACGATATTATGAATGTTTCATGCTGCATTTATTCTAACTGAATTTTGTTTTCTCTGAAAAAGTGAAGTTTCAAAAGAAAGACACATTTTCATGCTAAAACAATGAAATCAAAATATTTTTCTGGTTATTTTGAGTCAGGCATTTTACCTTTTTACATATGAATACAATCTTGTTATTTGACAGCGTACAATTTTTGAGTGTTGCAGTATAAATAAACGCTAATACAAAATATGAATATTTTCTTTCTATTTTAAGACACCGAAGTATACGCGCAAATATCATTATTAGTATCAATTTCATAGTCATCTGCTTGAGAAGATCCATCATCGGCCGTGCTATTCTCACAAAACAGTTCTTCGTCAATGAAATCGCAGTCTTCGGGCTTGCAATGGTAAGCAAAGCATCCACTTGAGCACCCGTATGTTCCATTTATGCAGCCCGAACAGTCTAAAATGATAGGGAAAAAAATGTCACAAGAAATTGGAATGGAAATTTTCATCAAGAAGTCACAAATTTCTACCGATATTTGTCTCTCTATAGGCATGTTTTTGCATCAATTTCATGAGTCGTGGTGGGGGTGGCGGCATTATCAATAGCGGCTCATTAAACGAAAACTGCTTTGGGCGCAGATAAATAGTGGACTTTGAACAGAATTCCCCACATCGTCTGTATTTATGGTGGTAACACTGCCATTTTGCGCCTGTTCTGCTTGAGATTCGACGACATATTCTTGGGGTCATAATAGAGCAACAAGGTTGACCATTTGGATCTTGTGAAATCTCTGTTTCATCAACTACATCAATTGTATGCTGCCTCTTCACAGAATCATATCTGGAAGGTGATTTCACGTTCACTGTACTTTCGAACGGCTTTTGCTGCCATTTATTCCCATTGAAAACATTTTCTCTCGAAGGAAGCGATCCTTGTGTCACTGGTTCGGTGGTCGTTTCAACTACTCTTCTATTCAAACGGCACATATTTTCGTGGTAAATGTATCCACTCGGACAAGTTGGTGGATTCCGTACACATTCGTTGCCCGACCAAATAAATCCAAACGGGCACATCGGTGACGTCGAAAATGTGGGCATAACTGTTGACGGTAGTTGCATATTTGCTGCGACTAATGCTGCTGCTTCTTCTGCTTCCTTTTCTTGTTTCTTTGCGTATTTACACTTTGTGTCCGGAGCAGAGGGCACTAATGCGGCTGTTTGTATAGACGATTGGATTATGCAAGCACGCCCGTTCCAATGATAACCTCCCGGACATAAACTAATTGTCGCAATACACGCACTTCCATTCCAATGCTCATCATTAGCACATCGACGTGACGCAAACACATCAGCTCTTATCAATTTCGAAACTGACACACTGTCCACCGATCGTACTCTCTGCTCACTTTCATTCAACATCGTTTTTTCTACACATCCACAAGTTTCGAAATTAATCTCAAATCCATTGCCACAGAATACATTACAAGCGGGCACTTTCGGAACGATTAGCAGCTGATTTGTTTCGATTATGAGAAGCGTGCCAGTCAAAATGGACAGATATTTAAATTTGAACATTATTAAAATCACTTCACATTTGCGCTCGTCACAACAATACGATTGCACTGTCTCAGAATTACTGATTTTTCTGAATGGCTACGATCGAATTTATAAGGATGATCACACACAAATCGACTCTATCACTCTCTCTCTCTCGGCTAACATCGTAATCGTGAATCGATAATAATGAAAAGAAAACCTCGTCGCAAATGAGAGATTACGGGAGTTTTATACGTTTTTTCTGTAATAAAAATGAGTCAATGTTAATCACAACATTCATACGCTGTACGATGACTTTGTCGATAGATTTGTTTGTAAACAGGAATAACATATTCAGAAACGGTCGCTCTCGAATAAATTGCGTAGCGCGATGAGGGAATGTCATCCTCATCGAACATTATTGAGCACCAGTGGAATTACTTTAATATTTTATTGTTCACAAATGACAATAAAGACAAATTATTGGTTGCATATGTCTTTGATGAACAACAAATATTTCACGGCAAACAAATTGTTCGGATCAATTCGAACATTTGAATCGAATTTCTCAAAGCTTGAGACAGTCAAAGTTCACAGCGCAGAACGAAAAAGTTCATTACGAAACTAAACTACTCAAATGAGCACATTTTGTAATACGATTTGGTGTTTGCGAAAGATCTTGGAAAAAGGTTGTTTTTTTATTATTGGAATAACAACAATCACACCAAGCTGTGATTTGTTACATGGAATGGATTTTCCAAACTGTGTGCAATTTTTCTGTTGCAAATATTTCGATGCCAAACTGACATTCTCAGAAAATCAACAATAATATAGTATATTTTGAACCAAAGTAAACTAAGAAAAAACAGCGCCAAACTGATGCAACTATTTTCCAATGTATCGAATTCGTTAGAAAAACATGTTTGATTTCCTTTTGTGATGGCTACATTGTACGCAATCCATTTCAAATAGATTTTATTTTGAAACGGTGATTGCATCACTAAATTGTGGGATAAAATATTGCGCACTCGAGCTAGAAATAACAAAAAATTACAATTGCACCTACAGTGTTTTTGAATATGAAATTATTTCTCGTTTAGAATCCCACCAACGAGTGTATTTTCAAAATATAAGCATGCTGGTTAAAAAAACCTGCAGGTTTAATTGACGTCATCGACATTTGAAATTTTAGCTGCACATGGTTTGAAATTCAATAAATGACTTTTATTTATTCAGTTTCCTTGGTTTTGTAGGTAAAAAAAAACAATAACGAAGAAAAATTTTTATGTTGACTGTCTTCCTATGATTGTATCGTTCACCACGCAAATACATCTCGTTGGATGAAAGTGACGCCTTCGTTGATTTTTCCGCATAAAACAGACAACGGAACACAGGTGGAAAAGTTAGATATCTAACAAGTGCAACTATACATTTCCAACGTGATTATTTATGGAATTTCATCCTGTAATTCGAGTCCCCTTCATTTCGAAAAGAGGCGAACAACTATAAATTGCTGGAAATTAACTTTATATCGCTTGCAATCAAAATATGTGACATTTTCGCATCGTAGATTGAAAATCAAATTTAAAAACATTGGTTGGCCTTTAGAGCTGCATTTCGCCGGAAATGTGTGGTATTTTGATACTTGGAAAGAGCGTGTGTTTTGGTTAATGGTGAATAATAATAAACAAAACCGTAGTATGAACTTTCGATGAGAAGTGCTGTACTCGTGTGGGCTAGCAAAGATCAGATATTGGCAGATGCTGATAGAAATAGTCGCCTCATTTCGATAAAATATTTGTTTGTTGTTCTCTCCGGCGATGGCTGTTGTTCGTTGTTGCTGCTGTTGTTGTACTTTTGGAGCAGCAATTCCCAGGTGTTTGCCGAGTAGCAAAATTCCAGTGTTTGCATTATTGCAATATTCTGCATATTGTGAACGGGTTTAATTTAGCGGAAAGCCAGTTTTAGTGTGATTCGATGCTCGTGTGTGATTCAAAATGCTCTGGTTCCAATCTAGGTGAAAAGAGCAACATTTGCAATTCAGCAGCATCCAAAAAGTAAATACACAATTTTCAGTTTTGCATCGAATGAGAATTGAAAGTAGAAATTGTCTACAAATCTTCACCGCATTCCAATTTCCGTGACATAATGCCGTGGTTTTCCATCTATTTGGAGCACCCATTTTCTATTCTCACTTCTTTCCCTTTCGGCAACAATAATACTAGTTTCTTTTTTCTCATCTTCTTGATGACGTCGATAGGCAACGACGTATGTATACACCAGATTACTATATAGTAAAGTGCACTTCTTTTGTGCATCTCGTGCTTTTTTAATCGCCGTGGCTGCGGTCATTGTTATCGTGTCGAACTGTGGTTGTATTTGCCCTATATTTCACATAAATCAAAAACACGAGAGCCATTTCAAAATGTGATTCCGATCGATATACATGGCGTGTTGTTGTTGTTGTTGCTGCTGCTGCTGCTGCTGATGTTGTTGTAGCTTTTGTGTATTTAATGTACACATTCGTTTCAATGTGTTGATATGATGGAGTGATGACGTCAAACAGCAGGGCTGACTGTTGCTGCGTGGAAACATTTCATTCAGAGAGCAAAGAGACATTTGCACAAATGTTACTTCTTGGCAGAGGAACGATAAGGACGACAAACCGTATTTGTGCACTGTGGAAAATGTGAGAATGGAAAATCAGAGGACCTTTAAAACCTCTATTTATAACGAAATTCCAGCAGAGACACACAAAATTTGAACCCGTGAACACAACACAGAGCTTGAAATCATATTAATATTTATACGACACAGTGTGTCTCTCTCTTGCACAGAGTCGCATCGGGAAATATGTAAATTGAAAATGATAATGGCAAATAAACGATGGAATACCGTGATTGTTGGTGCGGTGTATTTGCATTTTTATTTATGCCATACATCTATCCATCACAGCTCGAAGGAACAATGCAAAAAGAGTCGTTCAAAACATCGACATACGCTATTGCCCTCTACTCTAATCCTTTTTGAAACTGCCAGCCCGCCCAAAACTAATGCGATTTCTAAAGCTCCGTGACGCTATAGGTTCCAAAATTTGAGTCATGAAGTGAGTAATCGAAATGAGTCATAATCGAAGTCATTTATTGTCCAAAGTAAGTCTAACTTCATGTGACCGGCTCTTCATGAGTCATAAGAAACGAATTAGATTCTAATTCCATTTTAGAGGCAATTAGTCAGTCGACTCAAAGAATCAGAATTGATATGAATATGACTCATTGAATGCGTGAGTATACCAAAAATCATGAAAAATCTACGTACAGTATTGGTGCGCAAAACAGAAAGTCATAACTTTCCGATTATGACTCATTCAATTATGAGTTATTATATTGTGACTCACTTCATGACTCAATTGTAAAACAGTGATTCACTTTTCCGAACAGGAGTCATAGAGCTACATTGATACGAAAAAAATGTGATTTCATGTACTTGCCATGGGAATGTATCGAAAATCTACTTTTTCAAAAATATTGACGATCAGTGCTCAGCCACTAGACAAGATTTTTGCAATCTGGAAGTAGTATCTGCCAGCACTATTCGAGCACTTATTATAACATATTATGGTTTAACAGCACTGGCGGTGCTGGTGACATGGACCTACCTAAACTTTGTTGCACTGTGATATCGATTTTCATACATTTTTTTTTCAATTTTTGTCGAATTCCTGCTCATCACTGGTTGAAACAGGAACTCTGAAAAGCGAGCAGAAATTAGTGGGCATCTAGACCTTTCAATATCAGCCACCAGGTCATCAAAATATTGAAAACTTCATTTGGAATTGACTGTTGGCGTGAAACCTTCGAATATGCAAAAAATCGATTTTTATGGATTTTTCGAAACTTTGGGCAATTACTGCTCGTCACCGGTTGAAGTAGGAATTGTGGGGAGCGGGCAGAAATTAGAGGGCCTCTAGATCTTTTATTATCAGCCCTCAGATTATTAAAATGTTCAAAATTTAGTTTGGAATTAATTTTTGGGGCAAAACCTTCAAATATGCGAAAAATCGATTTTCATGGATTTTTTCGAAACTTTGGGCAATTACTGCTCGTCACTGGTTGCAGCAGAAATTCTGCGGAGCGAGCAGTAATCAGCAAAAATTGCGTAGAACACGAAACAGTGCTCGGATTTAAATTTTGGAACCGGGGGGGGGGGGGCTAGCGTCACGGAGCTGATTTCTAAGCGGTTATAGTTATGTGTCACGTTATTTCGGCCGAAAAATCATTCGTTCTATGCTGGTTGTGTGTGTGTGTCGCTACTTTCAATATGGCGATAGCATGGGAGAAAATAGGGACGATACCAGCGAATATTTTCGTATAAATCGCTCTATCACTAGCTTGCAGCCATCGTACGGTTCGAACAAAATCGAAAATAAAATAGTGACAACTTTCAAAAGTGCTGCTATTTATAGTATACACAAGCGTGAAAGCTGCATAAGAGGCCAAACAAATCAAACTGCGTACGAAATGAGAGACCATAGCAAGACAGAGACAGAAAGCTAGCATATCACTTAGGATAATGCCGGATGGTGTCGTAAGCATCCGTACGGCGAATAACATTGATGACGTCATTTGGTTCGCTCTCTCATGTCAGAAAATAGCGTAGCGCTACGGATACATAGAGTGCGTCGGTCGCTTGCTCTCGCAGCACCACTCAATATACACACAGCACCATTCTTGATTGAACTTTTGAACTTTACTCTCGAACAATTGCAAATTACATTCGCTGCTGATTTAATTCATTATATATGAAACCATTCGTTCGTCATTATTCAAATCCAAAAATAGCACGAACCTTGCCATTATGTGTGCTCGCGCTCAACTTAAGACAAAATCTTTCCAATTTTCTTAAGCTAGTGAAACGAGATTCAGGCCAACTCTCCTATTCACTTTGAATTTGACAACTGATGTTGGACGCAAACACCACCTAGATAATCTATGGCTTATGACAATACAATCAAGTAAACTCTCCGTTCTGTCAAATGTCATACTGAAGTATAACATACAGACATCACGAATTCACCATCGGTTCTTTAGATGGCGCTTCGGTCAACCGAGTTCCAACCAAATTTATGTATCAGTATACGAAGCATTCCACTGTTGATTCAGGCACTGTTTTTTTTCTATTCGCATGGATCATGGAGCAGGGAGCACATTTCTTAGCCAATAAAGACACACTGGGGAGGGGAGTTCAATTTAAGAAATACTTCGTTTTTTTCTGCTCTATGTGGCATCTTCTAAACGCAATGTTTTTACTTGAAAGAACACACGAATTGTAAGCAATGAGCGTGTGTTTTGTACTGGGTGTCAATGTATCAATGCGTTTGTTTCATGCAACATAAGGTGAATGGCGAACCATTACACGATAATGTCATGATATACCACTCCAGTCTATGTTATGCTTCAGCTAGACCGAACGCTTCTCATCAAACATGCGCATTTTTTTTTATCTTCGGCCAAATGTCATTCACTGTTGGAGATGTTGATGCGAATCACTTTTATCTGTGCTATCATTTCTAACGAAGTGACATAGATAAATTAATAAAGCACACATGGCGATTCCGCTGTTTTGCTCATCATCGTAAACAGTTCGAACGACCAATACAAATATTCGCGAGAAGAAAAAAAATTGAGAACAAAAACGAACAAGATGTTTCAAAGCGAACAAAAACATTTCGATATTATCGCTAAATAAAATTCAATAAAATCGAATTGTATGGATAGTTCATCAAATTCGTTTGGATGAATAATGCTTTCTCTCACCATTATGCCGACAAATGGGATGAATACCGCCGCCAAAGACAAATACCTCGAGGTCTTGGCATTGATGGTTTTTCAATGCGTGTGTGCGTGTTTTTGTGTTGCCAATAGAATTCAATTTTCATTGTTCGCTTCAATGCCGGTCGAAAGATGAAGAAAAAAGTTGTCAACCGAAATGATCGGCCAAACGCATGTATTGTTTGATTATAATCGCCAGATGCGATTGTTTACGTTACTGTCATGTTTACATTATGTCTGTCAGATTAATTTTCTTTTTTCGCCACTTGATCCACTCCGGTTTCGGCACTTCAGAACGTACTGCGTCGTTCTTCTCATTTTACTTCATTTGCCAACAACGAACACCGAAAAATACTGGTTTTGTGTTGTTCTTTTTCTTTCTCAAACTCTCTCTCTCTCTCTCTCCCTCTCGTGCTTTTTATTTCGATGTTGTGATGCTCCATAGATTTGGCCTGAATGGAAATGTGTTGCGCGAATTCCATTTACATTTAAATGTCCTTATTTTCATTGTTGGGTTCTCTGTTTGTAATTCTTTTTTTTCTCCTTTCAGCCTTCTCTTTTGTTATTTCATTGTTTATCTCAAACGAATCTGTTGTGGAAAAGTGGTACGACTGAGTCTTTACGATGATAAATAAAAGAGATGGAGAGAAAACACGCAGAGACAAAAATGTTTTAATAAAAATAATAATCGTAATAAGAAGAAATCATTCCGTTTTTTTTCTTCATCGTTCCTTCTCTCGGAAAATTCACCACATACGGAGAGAGAGAGAAAGGGAGGAGGGAAAAAGAGAGATATAGGAAAACCGTAGTCATTCGTTTCGGACCGTGGCGTACCGATTATTTTCATTGCTTTATTTCTGAATAATTTTGAAGTTCATTTTTATCTGGAATGTATAATCTATGCCATTCGGCACAGTGGTAGCAAAATCGTGCACCAAAACAATAAACCCCAGCAAAGTCACTTTGCCAAAGTAAATGGGACAAAAAAAAACACAAAAATAAAATTGTCATGCGAAAAAGAGTGAGATGGTGAGTTGAGAACAGCCAAAGAAGGACACTGAAACGGCCATCAACAGCAAAACCTGTCAAAAATAGACATGGGAAAACGATAGCTCTGCGTTCGAGTCTACCTTTGGTCATGGGCATGAACGTGCGGTCGCAGCAAACAATTATCATGCTGCTGCTGCTGGGTCGATGAATTTTTGGCACTTCAATCGAATTAATAGCACACCGAATTCAGATGCTTCAGCAATAAAATCAAGAGCTCTCTCAAGAGAGAGAGAGAGAGAGAGAGAGAGAGAGAGAGAAAGAGAGAGAATCAAATGAGAAGATGTGGACGGCTTATCATTTTGTCATTGTTTTGTGGCTCAATTCGATTGCAAAAAATTTATGCCAAAATAACGTGACAAATATAATAAAATACGGTGTGCATTTTATTTCTTGACGTCTCTCTCTCTTTCTATCTTTAGCTATCATTTTGATTTTATTTCAACAGAAAAAGAAAACATCGCTTCCACTCTACCAACTCATTATACTACAATTTATCAATGACTTGACGACGCTACTTTCTTCCCTTTTTTTTCATTTCTTCGCAGAATCTGTCGCACTGTTTCGCTCGGGCGAATAGAAAAGATTCGGTCTTTGTTTGTTTCCGTTCGTTTTCAATGGGACTCAAGCACCATTCCAAAATTTTCTAAGCTCAACTCTTTGAAGTGTTTTCTTTCCAATTTTCGTTTTGTGTGTGTCGCGTACATCGTATCTCGGATTTTTCGGGCTGGGATGTAAAGGCATTTTTCAGTTGTGGGAAAAGGGAAAATGTATTTTGTGCTTCGGCTGCTTCGTTCTCGTTTACTGTGTGGATCGCAAGCAATCCGTCTTGTGTTATGCGTGGCAAATAACAAGATAACGTTGACCCAAGTACGTACACAATTTGATGTATCGTATGAAGAGAAAACCCAATGGAATCTTCGGTAAAAAGATGGAAATTTCTTTGTGCTACCAACTCTGCCATTCAATCCATGGGAATACAAGCACGTATTTTTCATGCGATAGCTAGGCAACCAATTTACATTTTTTGTATTTTATAGCAGTGAACAATTCTCTAAACACATCCACGTCGACGTGTGTGTGTGTATGTGTGTGTGTGCGCGCGCTGTGCGTATGTAGATGTCTGTGTGTATGCGATATCGATGCGTTGCATTGTTATGCCTGAATGAAGAGAATAATAACAGCTGCGTTTTCATTCGCATCGAGTGGAGTGCTATGGAGTGGAGTGTACGACATAAAATCCGCACCAACTAAAAGTTTGGATGCAGAGATTGTTGGGAACGAGTATGGCTGCCGCATAGAGCAATGTTCCACGGATAGCTCAAGAGAACACGAGATGGTAGAGGAGGAGTAGAAGAGGAGTAGAAGAAGAAGAAGACTAGCCGTACGGTGTTTTCGCATCATATATCGTTGTTTGTATTCAATTCGTCTGATTTCCAATTTTCCATGTAAGCTGCGGTACTGTAGCACTCGATTCGTCGTATCAGTGGTAGTCAGGTGTAGTCTCCGCTCAAAGACGGTTGCTATTTGCAATTGTATAAATTGGATTCACCATTCGTTTGTCCTTTTTTATATTGTTGGTGTTCCAAGAAAAAGCTTCTATATCAAGAAATTGCTGAAAATAGACGTGAATAAGGCGAATCGGCTGGTCGTTGTTCGTGGTATTTGTGGTGACAAACGAAGCTCAATCTTTCTTTTGAAAATTGGCCAAATCAATTAAATTAAATTTCATTGAAAGTCAATTGATGGAATAATTATTACTTGTGTAGTTGTGATGTGGGAAAAGAAGAGAAAAATTATCGAACACAATGACCAGACGGTGATAAATTTTGCGAGAAGCAATCCAGTCAAATTTTATTTTCATTCAATTTGTATAACTTTTATTTATTGCATAATTTATGTAATTTAGTTTTTGAAGTTGCGAGCAAATTTTCAGTTAGAGAGAAACAGATATTAGAAAAAAAACACTTTGATCGAGATAAAGCAAATGAAAAAAAGTGAAAAAAAATCTTGTTCGACATTTCTCTCGTTTGATGGAAAATTGGTGTGCACAAGCCTGTCTGTGGATGCTGTGAAAACGGAAGCTTTTCGTTCAATATTGGACGAGATTTGAGAGCACGCGCGTCGACTAGCTGAGTGAAACGACAGCCAGAAGCTTTTTTCCTTTTCCACGTTACAGACAACACAACATACATTCGCACTGATTATCCGCTCTTGCGTTCATTTGCGTATGTGTGCGCCCATGTCCGTGTCTGTGTCCGGGTGTGCATGTGATCTGTCTCTGTGTGTTTGTTTCGCATACGTGTATACCGAGAGGCAGTCAGCACTTGAATAACAACTTGAACTGAAATATCCCGAGCTGAAATAAAACGAAAGGTCCATTATCATTTGCACAATCCACCGTTTCGCGTGTGTTTGCGATTGGGTGATATTTTTGTTACATACATCCTCGTTAAAAAAAGATGTCGTCTACTCAATTTGCCATCATCTGTGCCATTATTTCGACGGATTTGAAATGAGTGAGCGTTTTTCTTGTCCTTAATTTGGTGTAAATATAATAATAAGATTGAATAATATCATCAACTTGTTCATAAAGTACTTTTCTTTAAAAGTCATTCATTTCATTTACTTTGCATCTGGTGATATGTGTGAAGAGTTGAATAAATGAGAGCACGGCCCTCCATTTTGTATATAGGTTGTATGAATTGCATGTGTGTGTTCGTACGCGAAATAAAAATAAAGAGCTGCTTTTTTTGAACGACCCAGCAAAAATGTTAATTATTCAGACCATGCAAAACGCCGAAATTATTCATTGAGCTTTTGTTACTTATCGTCAATATTTAAACAGAAAAAATTGTATTATATTCACTCGAATTCTGTTTGCGTCACTGGTTTATTATTATTGGTTTTTCTTCAGATTGAAAATTGTATATCTTACTGAACGTAACCCTTATTCAATGGATGAAGAAAGAAAAAAGAGTGATCGGTTGACAAACTTCCCATTGTGCAGAGGACCATGTAAAAATCAAATCTAAAAACTTGCAAAACTTATTTCGTTACTTTTTGCAATCGGTTATTTTTTGCGGATGTCGAATTCTACCTACCGAAACCTTCTTTCCACAAATAATAAATATTTACGCTTGACATCACAGCGCTTAAAATTCAACATTTCGTGTTGCATACACATTGTAAAATCAAATTTATGTACATTTTATGACTTTCAAGTTTTATTGAGAAAATGAACTTTTCTTTTTCCGATCGAATTTCCGTGACGCCGATACAATTTTTCTTTTATTCTGTTACCCACAACAACCTGAACGTACGTTGAATGAAATGGAAAAGAAAAATCATCGAAAGTAACAAATCCACAAATCGTTTAAAATTTTCTGAATAAGTACATCTTGACTTTGATGGTCATGCAAATCGCAGGAAAAAAAATTTCGAATAAGTTTCGTTCATTGTGAGAAATTGAGATGGATTTTAATTTAAAAGTTCAAAATGCTAAATAATGATAAAATCGATGGGTAACCAAAGACAACATCTTTTGCAGGTTTTCGTTACGTAAATCACCGTCATAGCTGAAATTTTCGAAGTTTTGTTGACTCTCTGCTCTGCTCTACTCGGGTCGTAATCGAAAGTCAACGGAACGGTGTCGCAGGCTTGTATCCCAATTTCGACAAATCGAAGATACAGAAAAAAAGATCAAGAGAAGAAAGGTGAATTTTTTTCTACCCATAGTTGCCATCGTGCGTCAAAACTGAAAAGCTGAAAAAAAAAACATAAAACGAAGATGTCCAAATCGAAAACGAGAACACTACACTGCCTGTGGCTTTTTCTCCTGGCATGCTTATGCAGTGCATCGCTGTAAGTGAAATTCAGTTCAATTGTTTTGGCGTTCTCTTTTTCATGAGTTATGACTTAGTTGTCTTCCTTTTGTTATTTCAATTTTTTTGTTTTCATGAATGTTCACCATGTTTATTTCGAAATTATATTCAAACGTTCAATGCAAATGATTATTTCACTTTTTTTTCAGAGCGAATAATGCAAAAATAAATTTCCGAGAAAAAGAGAAGAAGGTGCTGGATCAAATTTTAGGAGCAGGAAAATATGATGCACGTATTCGCCCATCGGGGATTAACGGAACCGGTAAGTGAGCTTATGCCGTGCCATATCCCATTTATATTCACACACAAACCCTTGCGTTGAAAATAATTTTCTTTTGATTTAATTTATCGTTTTAAGTTGTTATAAAAATGAAATGCAACGCATTCAATTGAAATGCAAACGATTTTTTTGTTTAAAAAATGGCAGAGATTGAAACGCAATTACTCAAAAGAAGAAAACTTAAAAAAAATTAAAATAATGTAGAAAACGTGGGCAATTGAACGATGTTTTATGAATAAATTCAATTCTCTTACAACTTTTCCATTTTGAAAGAAAAATCGAACTGAAACGCCATAACAAAATGCTGTATAGTTCGCAACAACAAAAAAAATATTTCTGCATCCTCCGCTAAAGAATCTCATTCTCTTTTCTCGATCGTGTCAACGAAAATGAACGAAAACGAACTAAAAAAAAATACTAAATTGATTCCACCTTGTGGAACGAACAATTATTTAGGTCCAGCCATTGTTCGTATCAATTTATTTGTACGAAGTATTGCAACAATTAGCGATATTAAGATGGTAAGTGGGCCTGCAGAATGTGCGTTAATTTGTTTGCAATTATCGCAATTAGATGCCAACATATAACACACATATACACACAATCTCTATCACCGTATGCCTTATTTAAAAAATAAACAAAAACAAAAACAACTATTAATGGTACATTTGAAGCGTTTGAACGGCTTCATTTCATCAATAGAGCATAGCGAATAGCTTTTGGTTTGCCGAGTTCTTTTTTTTGTATTTTTATTTAAATGCCACACAACCTTGACCTTTGTTCCTTTATCCATTTGATTTGGATACTTTTTCCACCCTTTTTCGTATTCATTTTTACTGTAAATCAACCCCAATATTTTCCAAATGATTTTTTTTCTCCATATATTTCGCGCATTTAAATCAAATAAAACCAGGCACTTGACATTCATTTATTTGTATTGTTGATTGCCGAAAGCGATGAACTTCACCGATGTCAATCATACGTGATACGTACAATTTTTTGCTTCAAAGCCGAAGCATTATTTAGCAAAGTTATTATTTAATACTTGCCTGCCACGAACTATATTGCCGATTAAATGCATTTAAATGTTAAATGCCAAACCAGCTCAAGTTCAAAATGGTCGATTTGCATAAAAACCGTTAGACTCAAACAGTTTGCGTTAGTTTTTTTTTTCGCCGGAATTGTGAAGTAATAAACAGCAAGTAGCTTTAATTATCATTCAATTACGCTGTAAATTGCGGCCTGTAATGGCTTGAGTAGAAAATATTCGAAGAAAATAACATTAATTTTAACGAGTAAATGGATCATTTAAACTGTATGCGTTGCTCGAGACAACCATCGAATCGATGGCATCAATTCAAAAGTACTTTTATTCAGTAATAATAATGAACTCTTGTATAAATTAATAAATAACTCTTGTTTAAAACTTGCTAATTATCTTCATCTTCGGTCACACCAATCAATCACAGTCCATCGAAAATTGAAACGTATTCCCAAGAATTTATCATCGGGCGGCATGCGCAAGTGATTAATTATGTGAAAGTCAAAATGGGAACGCTTCAACGGCATTCAGATTTGGAGAGTTAAGATTCAATACGCATTCATCAAATTCTCTGAATTGTCCGTGTTTCGGTTTCAGCCACAGGAATGCAAATGCCAAACAAGCACATTCGTTACGAGGCGAAATTAAAACCAAACTCAAATATGGGCGGCTTCATTGCCAACGCTGTTGATATTCGTTTGCGTTTTTCCACCCGAAATACAACCCTATTACATACACACACACGCGCGCTCACATAAAAACCCATGGACGAGTGGTCATTTCATCAGCTACATGAAAAATTTACGATGACCATTTTTGCTGGCATTTTGATTAATATCCGTTTCCTGTTCATATTTACTGTTGCGCCTCAATCGTTGTGTGTGTGTTTGGCTGGCTGGTTGGATGCCTCGGTCTGTTGACAAAATATTGCAATTATGGCATATATCGCATGGGATAGGTCCACACGTTTTGAAGAACTCTTTTCGCTTCATCGATTTTCGAATGCGTTTGGAATGGTTAATTGTGCCATTAAAGTGGCCATTTCATTGAGTTATGACCTTTATTTATGCAAGAGAGCAAGAGTAACGGAGAAACAAAATCGGATTCGTAATGTAATTTTAAACTGAGTCGATAAAATATTGTCCGCAGGTGACCAATATTTTGTGTCAATAAATTGGTCTCGTTAATGGTGCATATATCGTACTGGGGCTGGTGGCTCAGGTAAAATAATTAAATATCGTGTTGAGCCGTACATTTGACCGCGGTACGCAATCAGAGATAAATCGAATTTGCTGTAAACCAGACATATTCATCAGCAAATGTGGAAATTAATTTATTGGCGAAAACAACATGTCAAGGGAACAATTGATGGATTGATGATGACGTCATTCATTTCGTCACAACATCATCCACCCTCTGCAACCGTTCGCTCACCACCGAATGCATGACAACCTTTGACAGCTCGAACAATGACTACACCAATATAGGCCAATACATTTTATCATGCAGATAGAAAAAAAAAATAACGAAAGAAAGAAATGGGAACGCGACAACGGCACATGTTCGTGCATCATCCATCGTTTAAACCGATGAAAAAAATCTGATCACAGACAGGACATGCGAGAACATTCCAATTCCATGCACGTCTCTCGTTTTTGATGCACACAAAAAAAAATCCGTGGAACTTTCTGCTTGAAAGTGTTTCAAAAAAAGCGGACTTATAACAAACATCTGGCGTACAAATAATAGAAAATACATCTAATGGGAATGTCAAGCACATGTAACAGTACACCGACAACAAAATAACTTGATGTTACAATTTGGCAATTAAAAAATTATATTTATTCTCACTTTTTCTTTGCGGGTATCTTTGTCGTTTGATTGAATCAGCAGCTGGTGTCCGGAATGGATAAAAATAGAAAGAAAGAAAAAACACAAACTCAAAGCCGAGTTATTGTTATAAGTTAGTTATTGTTCGAAAAATTCGACGCAAAACCGTTGGCAGCAGCAACAGCAGAAAAGATCAAAAGGAAAAGAAAAATTGCGAATACAATTTCAAAAGCTAATAATAATAATGCAAGTCGCTGAACGTGATTGCTCAAATTTCATATAATTGAATTGAATTGAAAAGAATTTTTCCCGCCGCTTCCTCTCTCCCTCACTCTCTTCACATGATAAATATTACTCTTCTGGTTTGATTTTTACGGCACACATAATGTAAATCTATCCTTTTTCCATCGGAATAGCATGGATAATGGTACAATAAATGGAATTATTTCATGGAAATGAGAGTTGTGCAGTGTTTTTTTTAGGTCTCGAGCCTTTCATGTTGTTCGAGGGCAAACAGCATAAAAATTAGAAAATTTTGCATGGATTTCAAATGCTAATAAATGCAATGCGAAAAAAGATCGTTTATTTAAAGCAAACGATTCACAATTTCAAATGCGTTTCCAACTCTTTCTTGCATTAATATTTGCATTATTTATAGTGGTGTGTCATCCGACGATCAGAAGAAAAAACACGTATTTGATGAAAAAAAAAGAAAAAGAAATTGCCACACTCGCTGAACGGTAGTGATCAAATGGCAAAAAAGAAATATGCCGTAAATTGAATCCAATGAATGTTATTCGTTGCGTACGTAGATTCATATTTGTAAAAAGTGTTCCATTTCACTAGCCTAGTACACCATGGTTGTGCGCACTCAATAATCATCACTTGATGCGATAACCAGCGTCAATACAAAAGAAATTCAGCGGTTACGGAGGGAGAGAGAGAGAGAGAGAGAGAGAGAGAGCAAGAAAAGGAGCCGCTCCATTTTAAATCGTTAGAATTCGTTTTTCTCGCGCGGATTTCCAATTTATTCCGTTCTTTTTTGTCATCATTCGTGGTCCAGAGTTCGTGTTTGTGATTTAAATCGCGTACACAAAGTGTGCCATCTCGTCATTTGTGCTTGTATGTGTACTGTTGTGGCATAGGCAAAAGCCCAAGCTTTTCGTTGCCGATGAGTGTATGTATTCAAAGACAAAATCACACAAAGATTCCATTCCATGTATGCCACACCGCGCTCCTCGCACTGCTAAATTTATGCTGCGTCACGTAACATAATATTCATTTGAAATGCATACACAATACAAAAACGGAATCATGAAACGTATCATGCTGATGTAGATTATTGTTCCATTTCACGCTGTCTCATTCTTTGTGTCCCATCATCTTAAGCGAAGAAGCGCCAACTTCAATTGTTTGCTCTACTACTATTTGGCAAACACATCAATTCGACACACACATACGCTCGCGCGCGCGCACACACACACACTGCACTGTTCCGTTGAATACAAAATTTAGTGTGTGCAAAATTGCCAAGTGACATTCAAATCCGATTGATTTGTTAAGTGTAACGGCATTCAGCACCCGTCTTTCTCTATGCGTGTATATGCGCACATCATTTAATAAATTATAAATTAAATATTGTTTGCATGCCATTTCTGCTATCTTCATCTCATTGTCGGTGATGTATGTCGTCAGCATGAGCTTTGAAATTAGCATTAAGCCCAGAGCCACGTGTAATACGCTTCATGAATACCACAAATGAACACACTGTATTTCGACAAACACAATGATGTTGTTACACGCCACTTTCAAAAGACATACACACGTTTTGTGTGCATTGAAAGGGTGAATTCAAATTAAGCGAATCATATTCCTTCACAACTTGAGCACACACACAACATATATCGTCTCAAGCCGAGACGAGCTAGAAACAATTGCACCAAAATTTAATTAAATGAAAAAATTCTTTTAATCAAGTCAGTTTATTTCAAATGGATTTTAGAGTAACTGACAGATTCATGTGTATATGCAGTGCAAAAGCAAAGATGTTACATCGATGAAACTACTTTAATTGTCATCCTGACTTCTCCACTGAACACACCCGACTATTTGTCAAAGGGTTTATTTAAAATGCAGATAAAGAAGCATGAGCTTAAAATGGACTTTGCATCAGTTAACGACTGTTTCAGTTTAAATATATTTCTATATCTATCAACCAGAAAATGGATGGAGCGCGTGTCTTATCCCAGCTATAAATGGCAATGCCAACCGAAGCAGATGCAGTCGATAGAGTGAAATTAATTAAATATCAAATCACGTAGTCACGCATTTGTTATCCCTTATGCAAATTGACTATCGATTTACCGTTTCTTTTTTTTCTTCCGTGCTGCATATGCTAACATGCAATTTCAAAGCTTAGTTTCATGATTGAACGCCACTGCATAAGTCAATCGTTCTTTTTTTTGCTCCCGTAATTTGAAAAAGCAACGAAACTTAGAACTTTTCACTGTCTTCGATGCCTTCGATGGCTGACTTTGAAAGGCTGACTACAAAAAAATTAACTTGTTAAAACCGTTGAAAGCGAGGAGCTTCAAAAACGGATATTAAATTTCCTTTTGGCATTTGACAGTGTGTTTCAGATGAAGACATCGAACCAAATCCCAGACGAAGGCGAAAGAAGTAATTATCAAAATGAAATGAATTTTAAGCGGGAAAAAATGCTCTTAATCACGTTCAGCCCTTCACGATTGATTCTATTTTCAAAAACATTGAAGCTTATTGTGATATTGATTGAATCAGCTTATGCACTGGAATTAACTTTCCCGTGAGATGGTAACGCAAAAATATTCATTGGAATTAGTCGAATGTAGCATGTGGTGAAATTCGATGAAAATAAGCACCGTTGCGGTGATATATTGGATGAAGAAATGTTTCGCTTATAGGTGTAATGGTACTATAATGGTTTAAATAAGCCGAGAAAAAAAGTCGTCCATGGAAATTTGAATGGCCAAAAAATATCCAGTCATCTTCTCAATAGATTCAAAAGCAGCTTTCGTGAAACAAGTCACACTTGTGTTATGGAACGAACATTTTCGATTGGTATTACAAGAGAAAAACTTCAAAGAATGAGTAACGATAGACGGTAGCTACGCATACTTTGTTGAATAAATGAAACAAACAAAAAAAGAGCTTTGGATAGTCAGAAAAGAACGGATCAAATGATGTTACTTTCTTTGACATTTTGAATTTTACCCTCGAGGTATCACCGGATTTTGACGAGCGTTCGGTTGTTCCAACATCACGTCAATTCGTGTAGTTTGAACTTTGTTTCGACAAACATAAGATCTGTTTCGACGGATTATGTCGACCTTCGCTCGTAAATCATCGCGTTAAATTGAAAGACTTACGCTGCTCGTTGTCATAAAGATTGCACGTCGACGCAAAAAGAGAGCAAACAATGTTGATTTATGACATCTTCGATGGACATAAACACGAGCAAACTGATACCTTGTTAATAACAAATACATTGTAGCCAATGAAAGTACTTTGCTTTTCACACATGATTCCCTTCGGTGGTTGCAGCACGTTCATTCGCTTTCGAACTTCGGTAAATTGGTAATAAAATCGATGTTCATGTTCGAGCTCAGATGTTCTTCAATATGTGCCTTCCTCATTATTGTTTTTTTTTTCAATTTTAAATCCATCCCCTTAATAAACCTATTGATATCTTGCGTGTGTACGAGAGAAAGAGAAACCAGCATCAGGAGAATGAAACCGCAGAATTCGTTTTAATAAAATCAAAAATTTCAGCCATAAGAACACATTTTCCGTTTTATTTTTTACTTTCAATTTGATTTTTATTTTCAATTTCTAAATAAAACCCAAAACATGAAATTGTTTTACTATTTTTTTTTTCCATTTTGAACAAGAAAAACAATAAAAGCAAACATTAAGCATTTTTCTCTCTCCCTTTTTGTCTTTCTGTCTTATTTCGTGCATTTGCGTAATCGATTTTAACAAACCACATTATGTACAAAAAAAATACACGCAAATGTATCACCTTCGCTCGCGCTCGCGCTACTGCTCCAAAACAATCCTGATTCGATGAATTGGCTCCATTTGTTTTGTGAACATTTGTTGTACACGTGTTGACCAAACACAATGAAAATCCCGTCGAAATGAATGAAATGAATGCAAAACCAACACCTACACACAACACATACACACTCTCTCTCTCACACACACACAACACGAAAAACAAATGAACATCTAAAATAATAGATGGTCCGGCGGTGGTTCGTGTCAACATTTTTGTTAGAAGTATATCGAAAATTGACGATGTTACCATGGTAAGTGTGCCGATATACGATCACAGCCGCAATGAAAATGTGTCTGTGTCACTTGTTACCGAAAAATTAACCGCAAATAAAAAAAAGCCGCAAAATAAAATAAAAACAACAACAGCAACAGCAACAACAGAAAAAAATAGAAATAAAAAAACTTTGATGGAACAAAAGAAATATATACAGTATACACATTACACACACAGTTAAAAGACAGGCGAATACACATAAACATATTTTAAGGGTACAAGCAAAGAATCAGACAGAGAAAATACACAACTTTTACAGTTTGTTATTAACCAAGTAAAACTTTTGAGTTTGATGAATGATATGAACAAACACACACACACATACATATATACATACATCCACACATCCACAAAAGCGGTTAGGGAAACGTATTTATTATTTCCGTTGGAATTTCCACCAATTCAATCAGCCACAACAATTTATTTAAATTAGGAAAGTACATTATTCAATTGAATCGATTTTGTAACAAATTGATTGGTCTTTTTTTTTGTGATTTGATGAAGTTTGTTTTTTGTTTTGTCCGTAAAACGGAACGTTTAAGAGAAAAATGAAAAAAAAACAGAAGATTTAAATGTAGTTTGTTTGGATTTGGGTTTTTTTTCCTTCGAAGTAAACAGTATCAGTAATTAGTAATTCTATATCACATCTTTTGTATGTTCTTTTCAAATTCCTTCAATACACCAAAATTTCAACAACAACAACAACAACAATAAAAACGGTTTATTTTCGATTGGCTTATTCTCTTCTATTTATTTCTTCTGTTACGTTTTGTTTTTTGACTAGGTTTGTAATGACGTTAATTTTGGAAGTAATCGTTGTGTCCACTTGTGTGCTTTTATTGAAACAGTATTGACAAATACGTGTAGAACAAAAAATCAGTGCGACAACTTAACTTTCGTACCAGCTACTGATCTATCTGTAATGTAAACTTTTCATCGCAGTTAAAATGCCTTTGTATTTTTTGCATTCTTCGAAACAAAGATATGAACGTTCGATCAAATCCTGAGTAATTGTTTTGTTGATTTGTTTTTTTTTTCTTGTTGAAAAGCTTTTGGTTGCTTTGATTTTTGTCCTTCATTTCTCATAAAATCATCTAACCGGTTTTTGTGCTTGGTCTTTCATTTTATTTGGAAGTAAAACATGAGATTTTCTTTTGTACTGTATAAGATCCTATCGGAGTTCCTACCAGAGTTCAAAACTATCTTCTTCTATGTTAGTCAGAAATACTTGGAAATAGTTTTTGTCTGTAACCGTTTATTTTCCTTTTGCTGAACTTGTTTAACTACAATGAAAAAAGGGGTGATATCTTCTTCTGAACTGAAAAAGAAATCCGATATCCCAGAATGCACTGAAAGAGGGTGTATCTAAATGTGCAAATTGAATAGAACATTATTGACATTTCGATTCTCATTTGAATTTATGGAGTATTTTTGGCTATTTTTTGGTCAACATTCATCCTTCATCATCACATTTATTTGAATTCTTTGAGAGCCTCTGAATGAAAATATGGATTTCTTTTGGATATCCATGAATAAACGACTTTTTTCTACATTCTGAGGCTAACAATTGTTATTCAATCTATTTTCAAAAGCTTCAGCATCTTTTTCGCGTAACTTGGGTTAATAACGTGTGTTTTCGTTTCTCTATTATTATAGTATGTTTAACAGTTTTCAGTTTTGCGTTGGTTGAAAAAAGGAGTTTGGATTGTAATCTGCAGTAATAAAACAACAACGAGGAAATGAGTTTTTTTTTCACAACAAAAAAGAACTTTGTAAATTGCGTTTTTGTTATCGCGTTGTAAAAAACTCTTTCATAAGTCCGTTATGTTTGTGTTTACTTCATTTTCCTTCGAAAAAGTATACAAAATAGTGTTTACATGATTTCCCATTGGATGCTTTTTGCCAGTCTCGGTGGATGCTGATCGAATGGAAGCAACGCATCATTCAGCTTTCGATAATATTTTGATTTCTTATCATCTTTTCTATCTTCTTCCCTTTTTTCTTTTCTTCATCTACTACTTCTCTCTCTCTCTCTCTCTATCCGTCCGTCTACTATTTCTATTCGCTTCTGTAACACTCGTCACTCACACCAGTACAATCAAGTTGTAGATTTGATTTTCATTTCGTTCACACTATTTACTTCATTAAGACTCAAAGTTGTTGAACTAAACTGTTTTAAACAGCTAACTATTTCTGGTAAGCATAAGCTATGTGAACTGTTGCTATTTCGTTATCATTGGAGTTATATGTTCGAATGTCAGTAAATTCGTTGCCGTAAAACTTCACATTTTCGTTTAATTGAGTATTTCAAATGAAAATTGTAATTGTTTGGAAGCGTTGGCATTGGGTTGTTGCCAGAAACAGTAAAGAAGAAAACGTTGATGAAGTGAGCATTTTAAAGAGGTCTTTCGAATTCCATTGGAATTTTCTTCTATACTTCATCGAAATCAAGGAAATGACAATGGACTATGGATTTTGGTGTCTATTTGATTTTGCCGAATCATTTGAATGTCAATATTTATTTTACAGATGAGCGCAAGATTATAAAGAGAAAAAAAAAACTCTATGTGGCATCAATTGTGTGTCGATTGTTTTGGAACATAAAATCAACAACTAAATGCATTAAAGAATCGCACAATTTATTTGTTCTATTCATTTATCATTGTTAACTCTTTCTCATTTTATATCTTATTATTCTTTTTCTTTTTCTTCTTTTCTCCTCCCACGGTTCATTCCATTGTTGACTCGAATGTCTGAAATGCAAAAAAAAACAAATCCCTACCATTCCGAACAAAACTGTGGATGATAAAAAATAAAACTATCTATCTTTGTCGAAAAAAAAACCAAATCATATTCCATATCCGACATATATGTTATGTGTTTAGTGGATAGCGCGACCCGAGTAAATGTCAACCTATTAGTTCGTTCCATTTCGAAAATCGATGATTACAAAATGGTGAGTGGCATTTGCCAATTTAAACAGATACACAGCAAATTTAAAAAAATTGCTGAATTAACCGTTCAATGTCCAATTTGTAACAAAGAAACAAGAAAAAAACACGCATTTTTTTGTATCTGTTTATCTATGTAACGCGAAGCACTGATTCGAACAGGCAAAAAACATATCCAGCTAAACCATTTGTGTTTTCTTTCTATCACTGTCTCTCTCTCTCTCACCCACTTTTTTTCTTACTTTCTATCTTCATCGCAATGAACGTGATTTCATTTTCATTCCTCACTTTTGTTTATTTACATGATTTTTCACTCAACGTTTGCTGACTTTCTTTTGGGCTTTCGTTTCGTGTTTTTACCATCGGTTTTTCACATTACGTTGTTTTTTTTCTGTTTGTTTGTTTGATTTTCTCTACGTTTTTTTTCATCATCAATCATGATTTGTCTCACATTATTCGTGGTATATATATATATACATTTTTGGATGATTTTTTCGTATTCTGATTGATTTGGAGATGAAAAAAGAAATTGAAAAAAGACCGAAATAGTTTCGATTTTTGAGCTCACATTTTTTTCTCACACACTTTTTCCTCACACCAAATACACTCTAATTCCGCTTATATTCAAAGACACACATCTATTTTGAACCACAGATAGCACGAATCACAGACTGAGTGCTTTCAAATTTACACCTTCCGAATTTTTCAGGATTTCTAACTCTAATTTTTTATGTGTGTGTGAACTTTTATTTAAGAACACCGTTTTTTCAAACTGTTTGAATCAAACAAAAAACCAACTGTATTAACTGCGATTCATGCAAATTACATTGCTTTTCATTTCATTAAAAAAAATCTGTTTGAGCAATCCAGTTGTGTGAGCTACATGAAGATGCTCGTATTTTTTTCGATTCAACACGAGCCTCGGTGGTACAGGTATATATGACCTGTAAGCAATATCATTAATTAATCATCATTTTCACTCTGTCTGTCTTCCTGTTTTTCCATTCTCTGTCTTCGTTTTGGTTATTATTTTTAAACCTCATTATCATGAAATCATCATTTCATTTTTCTTTCCTTTGTTTATTTCCCTCTCTCTCCTCACATCGTCCCAAAGTATGTGTTTTGGTGTGCGTGTTTTTGTGTGCTTCTAAGAACATGTTTATCAAAATTCGCATCATTTCATTTTTTCCATATCCTATGTGTATTTCATTTCTGTCTCTCCCATATTATTTATGTGATTTTCTTTTCAGTTCGTTCGTGTGTTTGGCGTGTGAACAAAAATAAAAATCAACCGAATTGTCCGAAATTCAGCCTCATGTAAATAAGTTCTGGAAGAAATTAAAAAAAAAACGTGTCTTCTGCTGTTTTCGTTCACATTTTGTCGTCCTTTTTTTTCTTCTTCATCGCCAGATGTGCAAAGTGCCACGCATTCACGCACGCAAGCACACACACATAGAATGTATAGTATAGTGTATACACACAACGAAAATTGTTGTGAATTTTCTAACTGGAGGGTTTTCCTGCGAACAATTTTTTTCTTCTTTTTGTGTGAAAATTTTCCGATCGATATGCATATTAGGCATCTTCTAGGTGGAACTCCTGAAGCTCCGTTAAGTCAATTCAATGAATGACGGAAAAAATGTCTACACCAAACAAATGAAGCATACAGATGTTGATAAATTTGATAGAAATATGGAACACAAAATTAACATCCATGGGCAACAATTCTGAAGGCCACCGTTTTTTTCAGAGGTTGGTTGCACAAAAATTTATTTATATAAATTTCAAATATCAAATAAATTTATCCGATATTTTTCATGCGTCGTGTTGTTCTAACGCATTTGCCAGCTATTTATTTCTGGAATGGGATTTTCCATTTGTTCATTTACCGTTCTTTGTCAACAATTCTGCCACTGTGTCACTACATAGTATATATAAGAAATGTGCAGAGACGAAAATGTTCGCCATTTAGTTTTACATTGCCAATACATTAGTTACGGAGATTTTTATTTTGTTTATTTTTTGTTGTTTGTAAACAAATCTGC